CTTGAGTGACAAAGATCTAGTAAAATTCTCTAGTAAAAAAGTCAATGCAACTCATGCTACAAAATAAAAATGAGAAACCCTTATAAATAAAGCAGAATCATGTTTTAGGCCTTAGGATAATGAAGTTAGTAAGGTGAAAAAAATGTTAAAGGCATAAAAGTAACTGAAAGAACAATTCTAGAATTGGAGTAAATCCTCAGTGAAGTCGTGGTTGTTTTGCTGGGAGTTCTGGAAGTCTTTCTTTTAATAACATTTTAAAAGCCCTTTGTATCAAATAGTATCTGCATATGTAACGTTAGTTGTTAATGTCATAGTCCAAGCCTTTAGTGCTAAAGATTCTCATGACTGTGATTCATGTTTGAAATCTCACTGAGACGCTAAATATCAAACTAAAATGAAAGCTTTAATACTCATATCTAAAAACGGGTGCTACATTTTTGCAGTCATACGTATTTCCAGGCTAAGACTTGTTCCCCAAGAAAAGTAGGATTTAAAGGATAAGCTTCTAACCATCTAGCAAAATTTACTTTCAACATTTCATTTATTTCAAAATGGATTTTATTGCCGCCAGAACAGTGGAATTAACTGTACATAGTAAACTGTTACATATATATACACATTTTAAGTTATAGGGAATAAAGTTTATTTTGGCAGATAGTGTTAAAATTAAAGTTGCATACCTTAATAACATAACTCAACATCCTTAATTTGGTATAAATGTGACGCATTTACTTGCTTTCCTGGGTTCTGCTAGATCATTATACCTAAACTGCTTTATAAAACTGAATGCTGAAATTTAACTTTACTGTTTTTGCTTACGCTCTGATTCTAAACAAAACTTTTCACAAGCTTCTTCTATTTCTGGGTTCATCTCATCATCAGTATCATCCAAGTATGGATCACCAGCTCCCGATAAATCTGTTCCATTTTCTCCATAATCTGGAAAAAAGTCTTCTGTTTCAAGTAACTCTTGATATTTCTTTTGGTAATGTGGGTCAGCTGCAGTGAAAGGAACACCCTCAGATGTATAAAATGTTGGTTCATTCATAAAATAGGATCATTTTCAGGTGTTGCTTCTCTGTATGTGGAGGTTGCATGGACTCTACCCCAGTTACTTGACCAGAGTTCTACAAGCTTCAAGAGCATCTGTTTTACATCTCTGCTGCAAACACACACGACAAACTCTGAATCTCCAGATAAACACCCTCAATTAGGCACTTGGTGTCTCCAGCTCTGGTCAAATATCCCTGATAATATATTTACTCTGAAGTCTTTCCAGTCTGAATAGATTGCACATGTAATATTTATATTAAAATTCCATATTTCCATGTATAAAATTTTTCTTCTACGTGAAAGATATACTTTAATATTACTTTTACTGCAGATCTGCTGGTGTTGAATTCTTTCAGCTTTTGTATGTCTGAAAAAGTTTTTATTTTGCTTTCATTTTTGAAAGATACCTCTGCTAGTATAAAATTCTGGGTTGGACTTTTTTTCTTATTTTCCTTTCAGTACCTTAAAGAGGTTTCTCCACTTTTCCCTGGATTGAATTTGTTCCTATGACATGTCTGCTGTTATCCTTGTCTTTGTTCATCTAAACCCAATGAGTCTTTCCTCTAGCTGCTTTTAAAATTTTCTTTTTATTAGTGGTTTTTAGTAATTTGATAATGCTGTATCTTGGTGTAGTTTGCTTCATGTTTCTTTTGCTTACAGTTCATTGAGTTTCTTAGATTTGTGGAGGTTTTGTTTTCATGAAATTGGAAATTTTGGGACGATTATTTCTTTAAATATCTCCTGTCTCTGACCACTACTGTCCTTCTGGAACTCTAATTTTACATATATTAGGCCACTCAGAGTTATCCCAGAGATATTGGATGTCTTCTATTCATTCTTCTTCAGTATTTTTTTCTTTCTGTGTTTGATATTGGCTAGTTCGTTTGCTATGCCTTTAAGTTCACTAATCATTTCTTATGAAATATATAATCTCTAGTTATACAGTCCAGTGTATTTTTAAGATGTTGTAGTTTTTATCTCTTGAACTTCAATTTTCATCTGTTTTATGTCTATCATATCTCTAAACGTGTTCAGTCTTTTTTTCTACCTTCATCAACATATGGATTACAGTTAGAATACATATTTTAATGCCCTTGTCTATAAATTTTACTATCTTCTTTATTTCTGGTTCATTTTCAGTTGATAGATTTTTTTTTCTCCTTATTATAGGTCAAATTTTCCTGCATGTTTGCTTGCCTGGTTCTTTTTGATTGAATGTCAGACATTGTGAATTTTACCTTCTTGGGTGCTGGCTATTTTAGTATTCCTATAGATATTCTTGAGCTTTGTTCTTGAGCTTTGTTAACATTAATTGGAAACAATTAGATATTCTCGGGACTCAGTTTTTTGATTTGTTACATGGGACCAGAGTAGTATTTAGCCTAGGACTAAATGTTCCTGCTACTTGGGCAAGACCATTCTCAGTATTCTGTCTGATGCCGTGTGGATTATAAAGTTTTCTAGTCTGGCTAGTGGGAACTGGTACTATTCCTAGTCCTCTGTGAATATTGTGATTGCTTCCTTTAATCTTTTTGGTGATTCATTCCTTTGCCTAGGGTAGTGTTCTCACATAGGATGTGCGCCTCTGTAGATCTCTTAAGTTCTTTCCCTGTACCAAAAAAACCCCACTTCCATCAAGTCAATTCTGACTCATAGTGACCCTATAGGACAGAGTGGAACTGCTCCATAAGGTTTCCAAGGTTGTAATCTTTATGGAAGCAGACTGCTACATCTTTCTCCTATGGAGCCACTGGTGGTTTCAAACTACGGACCTTTTGGTTAGTAGCTGAGCGCTTTAACCACTGCACCACCAGGGCTCCCTTTTCTCTGTACAGTGCTCTTTTTTGTTACTCTGCCTTGTGAATTCTGTCTATGTTTTGCTCCCTGGACTCCCAGCTTTGTCTCCTAAATTCAGGGAGCCTGCTGGACTTGCCTTGGTTTTCCTTCCCTGTGCTGAGGCCTGCAAACTCTCTCCATGCCACAAACTGGCTTAGTCACAGGGCTTATCTTGTTTGTTAACTCTTTTCTAAGGGATAAATGTCCTTTTTTGCCTGAAAGTCGATGTCTTAAAAATCATCATTTTGTATATTTTGTCTGTTCTTTTATTTATTTTAGTCGGGAGATAAATCAGGTCACTTTTTTTCTATCTTTGCCAGAAGCAAAATCCGATTTTCACTTTTTATGTACCCAGATTTATAAATCAGTTTTGATTCTTCCTTCTGAGGCCCTCTCTACTACCTCTACATTTTTAAAATTACTGCCCCATATTTTTCCAGTACTTATGTGATTTCATTTTTCTTTATATTTAAATCTTTCATGTATTTCTGTATTTGGTATGAAGTAAAGAATCTAGTTATTTTCCTCCCTCCCTCCTCCGTTCCTTCCTCTCTTCCTGCTTCCGCTCTTTTTCTTTCATTTTTTCCTGTATTTTACAAGAGGCTAACCAGTTGTTTCAATGCTATTTGTTACATACGTCATCATTCCCACCATGATTTTTAAATGTCATTTTTATCGTATATTATTATACTTGTGATCCTGCACTCCTCTCCTTTTGGAAAATCTGTAGTTTCTGTAGCTAGTACTATTTTATTATTCTAATTTTTTATAATATATTTTATTACCTGGTTGGGAAGTCCCTTTGTTATATAACTGTTATCTTCTTGATCATCCATTCTTCCAAATTAACTTTGAAAGTTTTTAAATCAAATTTCTAAAACAAGCCAAAAAATACTTTTTGGGTTTTTATATTTTAGTTTATTTCACTTATGAATTAATTTGAAGGACAAGTTATACCTGTAGTATTTAGTCTTTCTTTCCAAGAACTTTCCATTTATTTAAATCCTTTACTAGATATTTTTTAGTTTTTCGTGTAAGTCTTGTGCATGTCTAGTTAAATTTCTTCATTGGTATTATATACTTTTCCTTCCTTTTATGAATGAGACTTTTCCTAATGTATTTTATAACTGGTTGTAGTTTATATATATATATATATATATAAATTATTAACTCTTCTATATATTTTTTAAACTGGTAACATTACCTCTTGCCCTGGTGGCGCATTGGTTAAGAGCTATGGTTGCTAATAAAAAAGTCGGCAGTTTGAATCCACCAGCTGCTCCTTGGAAACCCTATGGGGCAGTTCTACTCTGTCCTACAGGGTTGCTGTAGTCAGAATGGACTCGATGCAATGGGTTTGGTGTTGGTTTTAACATTGCCTCTTTTAATAATGATAATTGATTTTTTAGTTTTTTTTTCTCTTTGGTAATCATGTGTTTTATAAATTTTGAAAATTTTATATTCTCTCTAAATTTTATGTCATTCCCTTATTGTATCATAGAGGCATTCCACAACAGTCTTGAATAATAGCAGCTCTAGTGGGTATTTTGTTTATATATTTTTCCAAAGGATCTTTTTGTTCAAATCCTCCACCTCACAATAGGCACAGTGCCTCATCCCAAGAGAAAAGGAAATAAATTTTCCTCTGTAGCCCATCTTGTGTCAGAATGAAAGGGTTGAGGATCATAATCAGTAATTCAGTTGGTGAAAAAGAATTATTCCCTTGAGCTCTTTGTACTTTAGCCAAAAGAAATTATTACTTGATTTTTTTAGTTTTAGGTAATGATTTTCATGTAATAAATAGTCTGTCTTTTCTATGATTGTTTGAGTCTAAGTATTACATTTCTTTTGGCCTCTACAAAGTCCTTATAGTAGTCCTAAGCATAGGGTTGATATTACGTAAAGCCATTTTGATACTTTCTGAAGAGCATCAGTTATTGGGAACTTAAATATGCCTTGTCAACTTTAAGTTTTATGTTATTAGTTCAAAATATAGGCTTGTGTAAATTCTTTAGATTCCGGTAAAAATTGATAATTTTATAATACTCATAATTTATACCTAAGGATAATTCTGCAGATTTTAACATATTAAAGCATCTTTAATTTTTTAGTGTCTCAGCAGATGAAGTAAATTCACCGTTATCACCCCTCACATGGCAGGTAAATAGGAAATTAAATTACTATTATATCTATTATTTTGTTCTCATTTATTTAATTAAGAGAAATTGTCTCATTACAGCCCTTAGAAAATCGGAAGGATCAAATAGACGAACAACAATGGCCAGAATCTCAACCTATAATCTGGCAGAGTGAAGAAAGGAGGCGGAGCAAACAGATTAGAAAAGAATATTTCAAGGTATTTTAGTAAATTTTAAATATGTACTTTGTAATTACTAGTTTTGATTTTATCAGTTTTGTTTTGTGTTAATAAGGTAGAACATAACTTTCTAATTAAAACAGTAAATATGTTATTTTATCTTGATTTTCCACACTTATGTGGTATAGCTGTACAGTCAAATTAAATGTACAAAATTTCAGTAAATCAGAATAATTAATAATGAGTAGGTGAGTCTGAATTGTGTTACTAAATACTTTATAAGAAAGATGAATATATTGTACACTGCTAGTTGTACTGATATATAGTAATGATTTAGAGTTGCACAGAAAATGTCTTTTATTGGACTTTTAAAATAAATTGTTGACACATATTTTCAATTTGCATTATGTGTAAATAAATGCTATTTAAGTGAATCTAAAAATTCTTGAAAGTGAGTTTTTCCTTATGTCCACCTGTTTCCTTTTCTTCTTGCTACCTTAGTAGATATCTTAAGAGGCTCTTTTATCATAACTAAAACAAAAGTTCTGATTCATCTGAAATTAGCAGGGTTTTAACGACATTTTACTGTGCACACCTTTCTAAATACTGTAGTTTCATCTGTCGTGATTATGGTTTTTGGCTGGTAGGTCTGCTAAATTTGCAGAGGCCAATCATCAGAATTTGGTGTAATCTTCCATACTTTTCAGAATCCATTATTGGTATTTCTGACTCAAATGAACAGTGAAAACAAGCCTCCCTGCTCCGTGAATACCAAACTATGTTGTCTTTGTGCACTTTTTCTGTTTCCTAAAGTCTAAATTTATCTAAATACATAGTTCTAGGCTTTTAAAAAATATTTTGTGTATCTGAATTGTAGGTAATTTGAAGTTTAAATTACTAATAAATAGGATTATACTTCATGTTTTTCTCTGTTTGTTAGAAGTGTATCTCTGTGCAAATTGATCTGTTTCCATATATGAGATTGGGACATATATTTGGAAGTAGCCTATAATGTGACCAAAGCAAAAATACTGTATGTCTTAGTAGGTTTGTGATAAGTTTAATCCTTCAGCAAATAATTACCGAATTCATTTAATGAGCCTTATGTTACCTGGTCAATATGAGAGACAATGAAGAAATAAAAGATGGGGGTGGGGGAAGGAAAGGGAATTCTAAGCAGAACCCTTCTCAGTAATGGTGAAAATCTATTTATCCAAGCCCTTTACAGATTTGCAGTTAAATTTATATTCTAGCATTTAATTTTAAAGTCCTCCTTTTTTACTTCATGGAACCTTAAGCAAAGACACTCACTAAAAATTTTTAATAGATATAATTTGATGAATAACTTATGAAGGAAATTTTAGTATTTTAAAATGATACAATAAATTTGATACTGTTTTTAATCTTCTTTATCCTAGTATAGTAAAACCACACAAATTCTGACATCAAAAACATTTGTATAACACTTACTAAGTGCCATGCACCTTTCTTAGAGCTTTACAGATATCTACTCATTTAATCTTCATAACAACTCCATGAGATAGGTACAGTTATTATTATTCTTATTTTACAAATGGGGAAATTAAGGCACAGAGAGGTTAAGTTAAGTAGTATGCTTCAGGTCACATAGCTAATAAGCAGCAGACCCAAAATTTGAACCTAGAGCCTGTGATATGCTACCTCTTTATCTACTTCCTTATCTATCTAGCCTCGTATTAAGTTAATAAATACTTTCAAATAAATACAATATTATTGCTTTTTAAATATTTATAGTCACCCAAATAAATAGCTCTAAAAAGAGGTCTTAGTGAACCTTTAAAATAAATAATTCTTTGGTTTCATAGGATCATTCCTTGATAATAGTGTTTTATTTTTATGGCTTAAACATACCTTGTATATTGATGGTTAGGTTCTGAAGTTGCTAAGAGATCGAATGAGACAATTGAAGTGTCCATTATATAATCATCATCAACAAATGTTAATTTCTTACTTACTTAATAAAGTAGTTGCAAAGATTAAGCTTCAGTCACTGAAGTTAAATATTTTGTTTTAATTGTACTTTAGATGAAGGTTTACAGAACAAATAGTTTCTCCTTAAACAGTTAGTACACATATTGTTTTATGACAATGGTTAACAACCCCACGACATGTC